GCGGCAAATACGTCTCGCTTCCCTCTTCAGATCCCTATAGCGGTCCCACATAGCGCGCGTTGCGCCCGATCGCAGCGTGGCCCTGTAGGCGGCATCTTTTTTTTCTGCAGCTTCCTGACACTCCTCATCGTACCAGTTATTCTTTCGGGCTCGCTGAATTCCGACTACTTCTTCGGCGGCGGTACTTAATGAGCGGGAAATGTGGTTCCACTGCTCGCATATGTCGGTTTGTTGAAGAGTGCTCTCTGAGAGCAGGTGTGAGAGTCGAGTAGCGAAAGAGCTGGCCTTCCGTCTATCACAACATGATCGATTTGGTTTCTCGTTTTTCGATCCGGAGACTGCCACGTAGCTTGATGGATCTTTTTATGCTTGAACCTAGTACTGCATACTACCATGTTTCGGGCCCCGGCGAAGTCGATCAGCCTCAATCCGTTGCCGGACGTTTCGTCGTGGAGGCTGAATTTTCCGACGGTGGTTCCAAAGATCCCTTCCTCTCCCACCCTGGCATTGAAGTCGCCAAGCACGATTTTGATATCATGACTGGGGCAGCGCTCGTATGTGCGCTCCAAGCGCTCATAGAAGAGATCCTTGGATGCCTCATCCTTCTCTTCCGTCGGGGCATGGGCGCAGATGAGCGAGATGTTGACGAATCTCGCTTTGACGCGGATTGTGCTAGACGCTCGTCCACCGGGGTGAACGACAGTACTCGGCGACGGAGTCTCTCTCCCACCACAAATCCAACACCGAATTTGCGCTCCTTTACAAGGCAGCTGTAGTAGATGTCGCAAGGCCCCAGACATTGCTTGCCTTGCCCCGTCCAACGCATTCCTTGGATGGCGGTGATGTCAGCTTTTGTCCTTACGAGGACATCAACCAGCCGGGCAGAGGCACCTTCCCCATTAAGGGTCCGGACATTCCAGGTGCATGCCCTCAAATCGTAGTCCTTTAAATGTTTGCCGTGGTCGTCATCACAAGGGGGGGCTTTGCCTTGCTTCTTCACTGGAAGTGGTTTCTACGTGGCGGGTCCCAAGCCCAGCACACAACCCATTGCTGGGACGGGGGTGGTTTCGCAACCAAATACACGTTTATATAGCGAGCCGCTTGCTCCAAGCAGACACCCGCTTGCAGCCGCACCTACTGGTGAACAGACGCTGCAGACTTCAGTGAGCCCTTAAACCGAATAAGTCAGAGTGGCCCCACCGAAGCTCCCTCTCTTTCTGCCGTGACCCAAGGCTCCACTCGGATTGGTTACCGCATCTCGCACATGGGTTGCTCACGTTGCCCAGAGTGCGCGAACGAGGACGCAAGAGTCGGGATTGAGTATAGCCATGCAACTGTAACTGCATACCCAGCGCAACGACTATACCCCATTGCATTCTCGTTGTCACCATTACCTAACATTATAAAAAAGTTAACTCTTAATCATAAACAATTTCGTTTGGGGTCGCCATAGCACATAGCGAGTAAAGAAATTTTGAATAACATTGGACAATATTATTATGATTATGATTGTTATTACTTTTGTGAACTCCTATACACAATCAAATATTCCCAAATTAAAGTGAAATCAGAAGCGCATTTACGATCGCATGATGCAAATGTTAAGATAATAAGAGCTGCAGAACTGAACCACGCAGGACCAATTTTTTACAAGGACGGGTAATTTCTGTCGTATGCCGATGACATCGACATAATCGGTAGCAAAAATCGCGAAGTCTGCGCTGCTTTTTCCAAGCTGGATAAAGAAGCAAAGCGAATGGGCCTGGTGGTACAGACGAAGGACAAGACGAAGTAGTATCTCCTGCCATAAAATAAACACTCAGCGCATTCTCGTCTTGGCACCCACGTCACTATTGACAGTTATAATTTCGGGAAAGTGGAAAATTTCGTTGAGTAGGGAACCAGCATTATCACCGATAAAGATATCAGCATGGAAATCCCACACAGAATCACTCTTGCCAAGAAGTGCTACTTTAGACTGAGTAGGCAATTCGGGAGTAAAGTCCACTCTCGACGTACAAAAACCACAGAAGCTTAGACAATGACAACATTCGATGAGGCGGTTCTTGGAGTATTCGAGAGAAAGTTGAACTAAGACCAACAAAAATAGAAACATATTTTGGTACGGCAAATGTTAAAGCTCTTTTGATCGATTTTTTTGTGCTGATACGAATCCGTAAGTATAAAGTGTCCATCAAAAAATCGCATTTTATAAGCTCTAGCAAAGAAGAAAAAGGTGATAGAACCTTCCTAGAACTCTCGACTGCACCATTGCTGCTCCTTGACTTGATGGTCGCTTACTCATTTGTTATATAGTTACATTTATTATACGTTTCAAAAAGAAGTGTCGTTGAAATTGGTTATTGTGGTACACCAACTGTAAATTGAATTCTTGTACAAAAATATATCTTTCTCGTGATTCCAGAAAATTATAAAATTATAAAAATAACAAAATAAAGTATATTCCGTTTAGGTGCCTCTTCGCCTCGGTGCATTTTCCCGCTTATGTACACAATACTAATAAGTCATAATACTCGCTAGTGTAATTTTGTAATATTGTACGTTCCAAAAACGTGTAATGTGCAAATATAGGACTTTACATAAAACGTACGTTTCATAAAGTGCACGCGATCGAAAGGGGTCAAAATCCAATGCATACTATACTTTTCAAATACAATATTTGACTGCAATTTTTTTATTTTTATTGGTTTCCATTCACTTAGTTCGTTTGTGCTTAAATCGCTATTTTAAATAACTTTCGTTTTTCTCTAAATAAATGGTAACCATTAGCCGTTGAATCCACAATACACTTCGTTCTCCTAATTGCAAAGAGAAACAATGTACTCACCATTAGGCTATTTAAATAAACAAGTTTTAGAATATATTAAAATTTGTTTTTGTTATTTATGGCCTTTTAACAATTATATTCAACAATTTTTATTGTGCTTGAGGGAGTTTCTAATGAACAAATGTTGTGGAAAAACAAGAATAATTAACCCATAGGTAGAAGTTATAGCTACTATCATATCTCCTCATTAGACTTCTTCACCGCGGTCACTGGGATATGAACCATTAGAAACGGCCTCAAGCTCGCTCAATAAAAATTGTTGAGATCTTAAAATATTTTTTACCATTATTATCTCAAACTAAACGATGACAAATTTTTATGCATATTTCCATCCAACAGGGGGTTCGAACCGCCCCTACCTTCTTTCCCGGTAACCTTGTACGTACTATGCGCGATTCGCCTTGCACAAACGTTTTCAATTGAAACTACTGAATATTTAATTACCTACATACAAACAATCTATAACTTAACTTTTTAGTTCGTAAAAAATAATTTCGTAATTGGTTATTTAATTGCAGGAGAAATTCACATGGACGTCAGATAATGGAGGTCGTATATTAATACAAGATTCTTGTTTGCAAAATCTAACAGATATTGAGGCAAAAATTCTGCAACGTGTGGCTATAGAAAAGATAAACGAACTTAATATTGGAGTTAATGTAGTACTGGGTATGTACATGTTATATCATATGAAAAAATTATGTACAATTACGAGCAGTCTGAGATAAAACCCTCGCAGGTTTCGCGTCCTTTGTGCAGAGAGTATTTAAAATACAAGTATACAAAATATGTACGTATTTGCAGGGACCGAAAAAAACAGTTATTTTTTTTTTAAGTCACCTTGGCCAAATATTTTTAAGTTTGAAATAAAAGTCATTTCTTGATAATAATTTAAATTTTGTTTCAAATGAAAGAGGACGGAAATAGATTTTAAACAGAAATGACGAACGAAGGTTACCACCTCTATTTATATTTTTTTGTTTTATGTAAAGTCATTCGTAACAACCAAGAATATCATTGTTTTATTTAGAGTATTCAGCATATTGTATTTAATTGTGGATATAATTCAGCACAACTCAAAGAAAAGTCACATGCAATTCACCGAGGTATACAGTAAATAAAAATTCTTTTAACATCCAGTCAAGATCAATATCCAGTTTGCGATGAATATTGAGAAAATCTAGCCCATTGTGTGCTCGTTTTCTGCCGATGCCTGCACATGCATGATGATATTCATTGAATGGTTTTAAAAACTCTAACTAAATAGGGGAGCGAAGGGTATTATTGACCACATTAGGACAAATTTCTGTAGAAAAAAACGGAAATCTAAATTTTTGCTAATTTTTAATTTATAACACAGCCCTACGAAAATAGAAAAAAAAATATGGTACGGCAAATGTTAAAACTGTCTTTGATAGACTTTTTTATCCGTAAGCATAAAGTTTCCATCAGCTCCAAATTTCGAAAAAAAAGGTTAAAATGTCAAAAAATCGCGTTTTTTGCAATATTTTAGAAGCTCCAGCAAAGAAATAAAAGGGAATAGAACCTCCAGGTTTAATTTAAAGTTAGAACTCTCGACTATCTCTGAAAATATCATTCCTGCACCTTGACTTGAGGCTCACTTAGAAATTTGTTGTATACTTTTATTTTGCTTTTATTTTATTTTAGACAAAATTAGGAACAAGTTGAATCAAATTTTCGAGTGATTATTATAGGTTTCAAAAAGAAGTGTAATTGATATTGTGGTACACCAACTGTAAATTGAATCCTTGTATATCTTTCTCATGATTCCAGAAAATTATAAAAATAACAAAATACAGTATATTCCGTTTAGGTGCCTCTTCGCCTAGGTGCATTTTCCGCTTACGTGCACAATTTCACCAAAATACTGCATCATGTAATGGATTTTGTACGAAAATTCCACTTTTAGCTGCATTTTCGGTTAGGAGCCCTTTTCCGTTTAACAGCCTTCTTTTTGAGTGAGTTTTTTTCGATTTGTACCAAAAATATTTCGCTTACCGGCACTAAGTTTTTTTAAAAGCTCTTTATGCTTAACACATATCTATCCCTATTCAATACCTGCAAAACTACCCATAAACGCATGCTATGATACTCTCTTTTGAAGTTTATCGCATGAGTGCATGCATATATCTTACTAATATTATAAATGTGAAAGTTTGTATGTTTGGATGTTTGGGAAATCATCACGCGGAAACGACTGAACGGATTTGCATGAAATTTAGTACGCAGATAGCTTATGGGTCAGATTGGTTAATAGGCTATTTTTTTAAGAGTTGCCACCTGTAAAAAGTTTAATGTATTTAATATGCGGAAACGACTGATGGATTTGCATGGAAATTTGCACACAGATAGCTTGTGACCTAGATTGTAAAATAGGCTACATTTCTTAAGAGTTTCCACCTGATAAAAAAAATTTAATTAAAGTGATACGCGGAAACGACTGAATGGATCTGCATGAAATTTTGCAAGCAGATAGCTTATGACCTACAGTGGAAAATAGGCTAATTTTTGGAAGAGTTGCCACCTGTTAAAAAAGTTTAATTAAATTAATACGCGGAAACGACTAAACGGATTTGTATGAAATTTTGCACACAGATAGCTTATGACCCAGGTTAGAAAGTAGGCTACTTTTTTAAGAGTTGCCACCTGTTAGAAATGATTAATTTAATTAATACGCGGAAATTAGTGAACTGATTTGCATGAAAGTTTTCACACAGATAGCTTATGAGCTAGGTTGAAAAATAGGCTACCTTTTTTAAGAGTTACCACCAGCTAAAAAAGTTTAATTAAATTAATACGCTGAAAAGTCTGAACGGATTTGCATGAAATTTTGCAAGCAGATAGCTTATGACCTTCAGTGGAAAGTAGGATTATTTTTTGGAAGAGTTGCCAACTGTTAAAAAAGTTGTAATTAAATTAATACGCGGAAACGACTGAACAGACTTGCATGACATCTCGCACAGAGATAGCTTATGACCCATGTTGGAAAATAGGCTACTATTATAAGAGTTATCACGTATTAGGAAAGTTTAATTAAATTCATACGCGTAAATGACTGAACTGATTTGCATGAAAGTTTGCACACAGACAGCTTATGACCTAGACTGGAAAATAGGCTACTTTTTTAAGAACTGCCACTTGTTTGAAAATGAAATTTTGTTCAAAGATGGTTTATGACCTGGATTGAAAAATAGGCTACTTCCTTAACCGGTTTTCCGACTCCGGTTTTAGTACACTTACTACGGATTTCGGAAGGATGGTCTTAGACTGAAAGTAAGTCCGATAACTGAAGGCCCCCCCCATACAAATTGGAATTTTCATATTAAATACATATCTCTGGAAGTATTTGTGGGAGAGAACTGAAACTTGGTATAGTGATATGTATGTGAACTCAATGATGGCATTATCGATTGATGTTTTAATCAGTTAGTTAATTCGATTAAATTCAATCTGATTACAGTTAATCATGATTAATTTTAATCTGACTAAACAGTTAATAGTAACCGCGATTAAAAAATTAACTCCCAATTTATGTATTACTAATAACAATAATTATAATTTTTTTATATTATGTGCTTTTTATAAGCGTAAAACACAAAATAATTACTATAACTGTAGAATGGAATTTTGGAAAGTGGAATTTTTTATCAGCTATAACTTCGGAACCATAAGTCTCACGAACTTGAAATTTGGTATGCAGACATATCAATGGCAGGTGCTTATAGGCGGGAATGTATAAACGAGTTTGTAAAAGGGAGCGTGGCACATCCATAGGCGTGAAATTTTTTATCACCTATAACTTCGGAACCATAAGTCACACGAACTTGAAATTTGGTATGCAGACACATCAATGGTTGGTGCTTATAGGAGGGTATATATAAACGAGTTTGCAAAAGGGGGCGTGGCACATCCCATAGGCGGGGAATTTTTTATCAGCTATAACTTCGGAACCATAAGTCACACGAACTTGAAATTTGGTACGCAGACATATCAATGGTAGGTGCTTATAGGAGGGAATGTATAAACGAGTTTGTAAAAGGGGGCGTGGCACATCCCATAGGCGTGGAATTTTTTATCAGCTATAACTTCGGAACCATAAGGCACACGAACTCGAAATTTGGTATGTAGACATTTCAATGGTAGGTTCTTTTAGGAGGGTATGTATAATATAAACGAGTTTGTAAAAGGAGGCGTGGCACATCCCTCAGGCATGGAATTTTTTTATCAGCTATAACTTCGGAACCATAAGGCACACGAACTCGAAATTTTGTACGTAGACATTTCAATGGTAGGTTCTTTTAGGAGGGTATGTATAATATAAACGAGTTTGTAAAAGGAGGCGTGGCACATCCCATAGACATGGAATTTTTTATCAGCTATAACTTCGGAACCATAAGTCACACGAACTTGAATTTGGTATCAGACATATCAATGGTAGGTGCTTATAGGAGGGTATATATAAAGAGTTTAAAAAGGGGGCGTGGCACATCCCATAGCGGGAATTTTTTATCAGCTATAACTTCGGAACCATAAGTCCACACGAACTTGAAATTCTGGTATGCAACATACCTCAATGGTAGGTTGCTTATAGGAGGAATATATAAACGAGTTTGTAAAAGCGGGGCGTGGCACATCCCAAGGCGTGGAATTTTTTATCAGCTATAAATTCGGACCTATAAGTCACGACATTGAAATTTGGTATGCAGACATATCAATGGTAGGTGCTTATAGAGGGTATATATAAACGAGTTTGTGTAAGGGGGCGTGGCACATCCCATAGGCGTGGCATTTTTTATCAGCTATAACTTCGGAACCATAAGTCCCACGAACTTGAAATTCGGTATGCACACATACCCATGGTAGGTGCTTATAGGAGGTTATATATAAACGAGTTTGCAAAAGGGGGCGTGGCACATCCCATAGGCGTGGAATTTTTTATCAGCTATAACTTCGGAACCATAAGTCCCACGATCTTGAAATTCGGTATGCACACATACCCATGGTAGGTGCTTATAGGAGGTTATATATAAACGAGTTTGTAAAAGGGGGCGTGGCACATCCCAAAGGCGTGGAATATTTTATCAGCTATAAATTCGGAGCCTTAAGTCCCACGAACATGAAATTTGGTATGCAGACATATCAATGGTAGGTGCTTATAGGAGGGTATATATAAACGAGTTTGTGTAAGGGGCGTGGCACATCCCATAGGCGTGGCATTTTTTATCAGCTATAACTTCAAAACCATAAGACACATGAAATTTAAATTTGGTATGCAGATATATCTATGGTAGGTGCTTATAGTAAGTTGTATATGAATGAGTTTATAAAAGGGGGCGTAGCACATCCCGTACGCGTGGAATTTTTAATCAGCCATAAATTGGGAACCATAAGTCACATGAACATAGTTATCTATGGGAGGTGTTCAGAGTAACCTATATATAAATGAGTTTGTAAAAGGGGGTTATACATATATGTATTCATCTATTAGATAGCTCGGATATTTAAAACTGTGTGTTTTTTTTGAATCCTTACCGTCTTTAGATTATTTTGAAATGGAAAGAGTAAATCGTTTTTTAATCCCGCGATGCTGTTAAACGAAAAAGGTTCATTCATAATGAATAAAACTCCCTCCGAATTAAGCATTCTAC